CAGGATAAACTCACCACCAGTGAAAGAAGAGGATGAAGAGGACCTGTGATGTTGTGCAACCAGACCAAACTGGTTGCCAGTAACTTGTTGGGATGCTGGCCAGAGCCCTCCTCGGTTGCCAGGAGCTAGGCAGGACGCCAGCCAGAAACCCACCACGGGCGACAAAAAGTCTAGGGACACCAACTGGGGACCACTGTGATGGTGAGTTGGGTTAAAAGCAACCAACAAAACCTCTACACTATTGTGAGCACAGTGGGGCCTTCTTATGTCCAATGTGAATCCCAAATCCCAATGAGAAGTCTCCTGGAGATAAACACTAACAGACAGACTCAGCGTTCAATGGTAAGCTCGTACTCGTTTTTACCACGTGTCCTCCACACTCCTTGGAGTTTCCAGTTGCGGGCGTACTTGGCGATGAGTTAACAAGCCCCTCTGTTCCCAGAATATGTGTGGAATGAACATGTTTGTGGAATCTGTATGCTAAACCGCCCTTTAAGAGATTCTGGAAATGTCAGACATGAATCTGAGCCGTGTTGTCAGAGAGCAGCTGAGGAAAATGTTGCCGCGTCCTATGTGCAGGGCATCGCAATTGGATCCTTTTCATCTGCATGCAGCATTTCAGAAGCAAAATGTGCACTGGATGCAGCTCCACTGGAGAGGGAACCAGCTTTTTTTTCTGTAATGCCATTTCACGTTGGTGCATGGCCATAACGCATGAAGCTTAGTGTGGTAGGTTGGGGTGTCATTAATTTTTCGTAGCATCCCAAAACACCTAGGCAATGCACAGCACCTCCCCTGCATTTCAGCGCACAGCAATGCATAGATGTAAACCTTCGGTATGTCGTGGTGCACTGAGCATAGGTGTGCACAGCCTATTGCATTAGGGTGTGCACACAAAAGTACAAACGAAACGTGTGTATATATATACACACTCTTCGACTGTCTCTGCCCTTCGGTTCAGTCGAACTGAAGGGCTGCTGTACGGGCTATTCACAATAGCCCGTACAGCAGCCGAAGGCGGGCGAGCAGCTCAGTCGAGCCGAAGCCGAAGGGACAGCCGAAGCGGGGAGAACGGCCTGCCAAAGGGCCAGCCGTTCTTTCTGCAAATGACAGCTGGGTGGAGCCAGCCATGATCTCATGACTGGCTCCACCCAGTTGTAATGACAGATCAGCGTCCCTAAATGACCTGGGGACGCTGATCTGTCATTAAACAATAACAACTGTGTGGAGCCGGCCGTCATGTCACGGCCAGCCCTGCCCAGTTGTTATTCATTGGCCGGGACCTACTAAAAGACTGTAGCAGGTGCCTGCCAATAGGAAACAGTTGGGCGGAGCTAGCTGTCACCATTAGCATTTTAAATGTTACTATTTGTTTACATTTTAAAAATATTTTTTAAACTATTTTTTTCCCCATTCATTTAACTTTTGCTATTCAGCTGGGTACCTCGGAGGTACCGAGCAGAATAACCGAACTGAATGCAGCTTGGCGACATTCAGCTATTCACTTACTGCCGTTTGGCCCCTATGAGAATAGGGGCGAATGACAGCGAGTGAGCTGCCGAACCTTCTGCTCAGCCGATCCAGATGTTGGATCGGCTGAGTTGAATTCCTTCTGCACTTCGGCTGTAAGCAGCCGATGTACGGCTGATTTTAGCCAATGTATGGCTGAAATCAGCCGTACAAGCCAGAAGTGAATAGCCAAATGTTGGTCAGCTCACTTCACTTCGGCTGGTTTATTAACTCGGCTGCCTTCGGCAGCTTCGTGAATAACCCGCTTAGTTTTTCTCGGTCAGAACCAGAGAAAACCACTCAATGATTAAAGTATTGAGGATGGATGGGGCAATCTCTCCTGCTGGCTATTGGATTCAAGCAGCTGTGGGTAGCTCACCCTATAGGGAATCTATTGTCCCATCATAGAGGGATTGATCGTGAGTCAGGGATGATTATTTGTGGACGACTTTGGTGACAATGGTAGACGACTTGAACCTGTCTGTACGTTCTCTGTACATCCTAAATGTTAATACAATGGGCATTGTGACTCTGACTGTGAGTGACTTGTCTGGATAGAAAATAACAGAACGGGTAAACAAATTACGTTGTAGAGTTGTAGTCGCTGAGCCGTACGCAGTCATCGCGCTGATCACATGAAGACGGATCATCTGATGAGACAGTGAAATCGAGTTAAGGCAATTCTGAGCATTCGCTGAGCCGAGCTCATGACATCCGAGGCCTCACTGTCAGCTCAAAGATCGTCTTCCACAGCGACTCCCCGCTGGCTGCCGTGTCACGCAATGCAACGCTTCAACGCACTTCTACTATTGCTGATGCGTCCTAAATCCCTAACGGTCCCTGTTAGTTTATCCTCATCAAAGGAATCAATCTATACACATAGAAATAGACTATAATCCAGCAGTAAACTAGCTCATCTTCCTGTAACTCCCCATGCTGGTGGTTTGCGTGGTCTTTCCTGTTTGCAGGAATTAACATATACAGACATAAATTAAAACGAAACTCTTGGCAGATACTGAAAACACAAATTGATGCAACTCTGTATTTCTTAATACATCATTAAATGTGTTTTTCGTGTAATGCAAGCAGTGTGACTACCCGAATCTGGCTTGGAATTAGGTTCTCATGTACTGCAGGGCTCAGACTGGTAGAGGGAGAAGCAGCACAAGGAGGTAATCAGTTGTGCTGCAGTGAAAGAAGCATGTTGATGGGGGGGGGGGGGGGAGGGGGGTTGAGAGCAGAGTGACAAAGAGATGAGCTCATAGGTCTGCTGCTTCTCCTTCTCCAGTCACAGGTTGGAGGAGGGGCAAGACCTGTAAGTGTCACTGAACTGCAGCAGAGAAAAATCGGGTCTCCTTTCCTGCCAGGTAGGGCTGTGCTGTGTGGCAGAGAGAGAGATACTGTTACATAGTTGTTAAGATTGAATATGAATGTATGGGATGACTCAGGCCCATCCAGTTCTACCCATGTGTGTGAGAATGTATATGAGTCACTAAGAATTCCCATACCCCTGTACTGAGAAGGACAACTATAGGTTTTTGGACTGTGTCTATACTCTCAGCTGATACCACTACCACCCATACTAGATGTACAGGGTGCAATTGTAATGCTCAGTTTGCCTGCATGCTTTTTGGCAGCCTATGTATGATTGACTCTATGTATTAATTACAGATGCTCCTCGGGTTGCGATCGATCGAGTTACGATCTTTTGCATTTACAATGGAGTTTACTGTACAGTACTATACAGTACACTCCCAGTTATTCGGCACCCACAGGGATTGGTGGGTGCCGAATAACTGTAGTTTCTGGTTGCTTGAGAGTTAATAGTCACTCTCAATCAACCATCCCCAAGGCGCTTCCCCATTCACCTGCCGGCTAGCTTCTGCAGCCAGCAAGTGAATGTAAACAGCCGGGAGCAATTGCCAGACTGCTATTGGCTATTTCAAATTGCAATAACCAATAGCAGGTCGGCTATTACACCCGCCCACTGAGTAGTGGAGCGGACCTGAGAGAGAACTTTCTTTCTCAGGTCCACACCACCTCTTAGTGGGCAGGGTTTCAATAGCCTGCTATTGCAATTTGAAATAGCCTATAGCAGTCTGGCTATTGCTCGAGAGAGAGAGAGAGAGAGAGAGAGAGAGAGATATGATTTGATGGATGTCATATGGCTGGAGATGATCACATGCACTCTGTGCAGTCTCAATGCTGGTTTGCCGCGCCCTGTAGTGAAGTTATCTTATCCACATGCCATGTGAATCTGTTGGGCTTCAGCTTTGAAGGGTCAGAACTTCTGCAGAAGCTTTGATTTCCTGACAGCGGGAAATAGGGAGCGTGACCCCCAACCCCGCCCTCTGCTGAAATCGGAGCCGTGTGACTCCGCATACAGTAATCATATCTGATACATCAACATACAAGTCTTTTAGGAGGCCGGTGCAACCCTAAGCAGAGCTTACAGTGACCCTGCAAGGGTCTAAACCAGGGGTGGGCAACTGTGGCCCTCCAGCTGTGCTTTAACTCCAAATTCCAACATGCCTCTGCATCTGGGAGTCATGCCTGGAACTGGTAGACTTGGAATGCCTCATGGGACTTGTAGTTCCACAACAGCTGGCGGTCTGGAGTTGACCACCCCTTTTCTTTGATCATCTATCATCATTGATATCATTGATGCTAATTGGAGCATTAATGGTGAAATTAATGCACTTTAATGAAGCCCCTCACCCCCAATGAGTACAGGCAGCCTGGGCTTACACATACCTTCAGCCCAGATTCAGGAATCTTATCATCTACATGGACCCAGCAGACCCTGCTGTATTTTGTGCACGTTCTCTGTGGCCTCACGCATTTCCCTGGGTAGTAGACATGCTCATGGTGGCCTCCATTGGTTGCTCAGAGTCTGACTGTCCCAGATTCACCTGTACATTCCGGGTTTTGAGTCCTGCATGTGCTGTGTCCGAATTTCAGCTGGCCTGAAACCCAGAAACAGCACATATAGGGCTGAAAACCCGGACTGTCCAGGTGAATCCGGGACAGGTGGCAACCCTAATAACATAGAACAGTTGTGGAAGGGAGACTGAAGACACTTCAGGAGACAGAGACTGGAAATATGCTACAACAGACTACCAGAGATCATTTACATTACAGGTTCTGAATGAATGCTCCTACTATCTGACCGCTAGGGCCTGCACAGGGCCACACAGCAAGTGCCAAAGGACCCAATGTGGGCCTCAGACCACAGGTTGGGCACTAGGCGCTTACATACTTTTCAGACCTTGGAAGGGTTACCTAAAGCTCAAAATATAGATCTATTGCATGGAATATGGAGTCCCTGGCTTTATGTTTAGTTCACTGAAGTTTCCTCTTTGATAAAAGCATGGCACTTCCAAGGTTCCTTCAGGGTTGGGATGTTTTTTTATGAGAGGGCTGTGACTCTTAAAGCTTTGATATTGGCTATTGAATGAACTAACTTCATGTCACTTTCCATCTTCTTGTAGATGATGATCAGCAGATAGCAGTGTACAGGATGATCATGGCTCCCCGGAAAAGGAATCGTCATGCTCTGGGATTCCTCTGCTGTTTCAGGGGTAGTGAGCACCCAGAAATCAACCTCAAGGACAACAACCCGCTTCAGTTTGTGGAGTTTGCGGGGCCCATGCCATCTGCCGATGAGCTCAATGCCCGCTTCTCTGAGCTGGTGGTAAGTGAGATGCCTTTTTTCCTCCTGGGCTTATGTAGTGTTTATAGAACTGTCAAGCTCATAAGTAACTACTGACTCCCCTCCATCAGTGACAGTGACTCCTCTTCATAATGGCCACATAGAGTGTTCTATGACCAGCTTCTGGACACCAAGGAAACTTTAGTGGAGCCACTTTACCCATTTTTACAAAAGGGGCAATTGCAAGGAGCAAGTTGGTGTAGGAGGCCCACCATACCTATGGTCATTTCTAGCCCTGGGTGAACCACCATTTCCCTAGATTCAGGAGCTCATGAGGTTATTTGATACTTGATGGTGACAATAGTGGACCATGCCTGTGTAATGTGTATTGAAGCAGCCACTAGTAGCCGCCATTGGAAGCACATGTGATAGGGTGACCATGCAGGGGAACAGTTGTTTCTTGATGGTGACAATAGTGGTCCATGCCTATGTAATGTGTGTTAAACAACCACTAGTAGTCCCCATTGGAAGCCCATGTGATAGGGTGACCATGCAGGAGAACAGCTGCTTCTTGATGGTGCCAATAGTGTACCATGCCTATGTAATGTGTGTTAAACAACCACTAGAAGTCCCCATTGGAAGCCCGTGTAATAGGGTGACCATGCAGGGGAACAGTTGTTTCTTGATGGTGCCAATAGTGGACCATGCCTATGTAATGTGTGTTAAACAACCACTAGAAGCCCCCATTGGAAGCCCATGTGATAGGGTGACCATGCAGGAGAACAGCTGCTTCTTGATGGTGACAATAGTGAGCCATGCCCACATAATGTGTGTTGAAGTGGACACTGGCATTCTCCATGGGCAGCCCATGTGACAGTGATAAAACACAAGGGCACAACTGTGAGAAAAGGACGCAGCATTGTCACCCTATAACAGGAAGTGCCTAAGCAAGGACCTGGCAGGGTCACCAGGAATTATTTTAATGAATGTTGCAGATAAAAAAAATAAAAGTTACATTTGAAAGGACATTAATGTGTTAAAGATAATACAAGATTTTAGTGACTGGGTTTGCTTAGACTTCAATGCCCCCGTCCTTAGCTGTGTGTTGTATATTGGGAACGGTAAATAACATTATGCTGCCAGCTGTGGTTGGTGCGGAGTATCAGTGCCTGCCACCAACGTATAATGCCATCGTTGTGTATCTGTTTTGTCTGTGTGGAAGCTGCCAGTGCCAGTATAGAGATGAGCTTTCATAGTCATTAATCAGTGAGCAGCGCTGTTCCCGGGGACTGGAGACCGCAGACTTTATACCCCAGCAGCAGATCAGCCGGATAACTTAACCCATCTGTGACCTGAGTGAAAACATTGCAGCATGATTAGCATTAAAGTGAACCTGTCAGACCTGGGAGGAAGCTAATATGAGTACCTGACGATAGAACTTCTAATGACCTCCAAGAATATGGGTGACCTTAGTGTACACATTATGACCTCATCTCTCAAGCAGAATGCTGTCACCTCAAGCCTTTGCTAATGCAATGCAAGCACCTCAGCAACAAGGAGAGAAGTGGGTGCAATGCATTATGGGGTATTAGGGGTGGGCATGCCATGGTGCCAATAACACTGCATACTGAGAGTGAGCAGGTTCAGAGTGCCAGAGATGCACCAATAGGTGCACTGTGCAGCAATAAAGACATGTTTGGGCATCTTGTGGTGCATAGAATAGTATTAGTTTTATCACGGTTATATATATATATATATAAAATCATTTTTGCAGAAATCGCTTCATTATAGCTCGTGCTAATTCCATGATGGCGGTGGTCTCCCCTAATACTTTACATCCCAGGTCCTGGAATCTTCTCCGGTGCTACCTGCACCTGCACAGTAACTCTACAGACTCAGATGGGGCATTCCCAGATAGCAAGTAATTGAGCTGCAAGTTATAAAATGACTTGCTAAACTATTGCAGACTTGCCGAGCTTCACAATTTTGTTGCACAATTACAGCAAGTCTGCATTGCAAGTCTCCAGACCAGCGAGCTTGCAGAGCTCTTGCTAAGACCTGTAGGACTCTTGCTGTAGACTTGCCAAGCAAATTTGCTACAAATTCAAAAAGTGTCGCCTAGAACTTGTGCTGCGAGTGTTCTGCAAGTCTACAACGTGCCAGGAATGTGTGCAGCAAGTTAACAAAAATTACAATTTCACCCGGACACAAGTTTGTAGCAAGTTATCCTTGCTATCTGGGTTGCTCCTACAGTAGGGACACTAAAGAGGTCTGTTTCTAAATGTTTCTAAATGTTTTCACCCAAGATTCACTACTCAACTTGCAACAAAGATTCACATATTTTTTAGAAAGAAAAAAAAAAGGACAAAGGCAATTATGGAAAACTTGGACTTGTTCCTCCAGATTGGGAAAGTTGGCAGCCTGGCCAATCCCACCCTCCGACATGCATGCTGCTCTTTGGCCTACGACCAGCGCTAAAAGTGTGACTCTTGGGTGAAAGTTGTGTGAAAATATTCATATATAAATAGCCCCATTCAAGTCTACGGGGATTTACTTTGTAAGCGCGGGCAGTGGTGGAGAAGATTTCAGAACGCAGGATGTAACCGCTGCAGGTAGCCACTACCTTCTTGGAAGGACCTGGGTGGATTCTAGGTTAGGTTAGGTTGGGGGAATAGGGAAGATGGGCTCTTTGGGTTTTATTTAGAGGAAGTGTAATTGTACTTAAAAAAGTGAAAAAAGAATTCCAATCTTTGTAATGGAAACATAACTGACATTATCATTATTTCAGAAAAAATGTTTGGTAAAAAAAATTACAATGGCAATAATGCAAAACTTGGACTGGTTCCTCCAGATGGGGACAGTTGGCAGCCCGGCCAGTCACATCCTCCAACATGCATGTTGCTCTTTGGCCTACGACCAGCGCTAATTGTTCTTGGAGAATGTCAGTAGGGGATTTGTACCTCCCTTCTCCTCTGGGCAATGGAAGAAATTTGGAGGCGCAGAGCCCAGGCGTGCGCCAAACCCGAAGAATCCTTCACAGAATGCTTGTCGAAGCTTCTGACACAGGAACAATCGATGTTGTGTCTCCTCAGCCCACCCGGTCCGCTAATGAAGATTCGGCTGGGTAGACTGAGCCAGAATGTGATGTGCAGCACGCTGGAGTAGCGCTGTTCTTCGTTAATATAATCCACGAATGTGGCCAGGAATAAATTGACAGCAGAAGAAGCTGGAGGGGATGTCAGGAAGCTACCAACCACTTTGCCTAGATCTCATCCTTGGTTCTTTTAATTTTTTTGGTTATCCAAGTTGTGAAAAATAGCTGCGCACGGCCTTATATCATCAATTAAAGGGGATCTATAAAGGCATTACATACGATTTTCAAACTGACACAAAGTATCACTGTCCACCTGCTGACTGGCTCAGATTTTCATTGTGGGATTCATGGTGTGTGGCTACCTAAACCAGCCAGCTAAATCCCTATGAACGGCAGTATGGATGAGTTCGGTCCAAACCTGAGCTACTCTAAACACTAACGTACCAAGGGTCACCCGCCCAATCAGCTGTGGGCTGGGGCAATCCCCACCTCGCAGCTGAACCTAAACAAAGGCCATGTAAGGTCAGTGATGCCACTGCATCCTTCCCTTTTGCTTATGCACTGCTGTGGGCAGGGAATTCCCCACCCACAGCTGATTGTGTGGCAATGGAAGAAGCTTCCATGTTCAGAGAAGCTCCTTCCATGTTTGGAGGAGCTCGGGTTCAGACTGGGTTCAGTCCGAACCTGACCTCAATCCCTAACCACCTGGTAATCTCTATAGGGACACCAGTGTGTTCCCCGGTTCCTATCTCTGCCCTCTGTACTATACTCTTCACAGCCCAACATCATATTACAAGAGACTGCTGTTTTGCCTGAAAGTACAATACTTTCAGGCAAAACAGCAGTCTCTTGTAATATGATGTTGGGCTGTGAAGAGTATATGGCTGCCAGCTTGGGCTGCAATGAGTTATCCAGAACTCAGAAGCAATTGAGGATATATTGAGGGGACTTTGTGAATTTAGCACAGCTGTGGTGTTTACTAGAGAGCATGGACATTCACTATTCACTATTCATACTATTCCCCCTGGCAAAATCTCCATGACTGCTGGTATAGATGAGTTAGGCCCAAACCTGAGCTCCTCTGAACACAGAAGTAGCATTGGGGCACAATCAGAAGGAACTCCTTCATACACAGAAGGAGACCCTCTGAACCTGTAAGGAAGCCCCTTCCACTGCCACCCAAACAGCTGCAGTCTGGGGAATTCCCTGTCCACAGCTGCACATCAGCAAAGGGGTGGGATGCAGTGAGGTCATTGACCTAAACTGGCCATGTAACCATATAAGGTCAATGACATCACTGCACCCCACCCTTTTGCTTGTGTGCAACAGCGGCCAGGGAATTCCCCAGGCTTCAGTTGATTGAGCGGCAGTGCAAGGAACGTACTCCCGGCTTCAGAGGGTCTCCTTCTGTGTTTGGAGGAGATCCTTCCATGTTCGGAGGATTTTAGGTATGGACCAGGCTCGGTCTGAACCTGTGCTCATCCATAAGCGCTGGTATCTTATGTATCTAGAGCTAAGGGGACACTGATGTGTGTTTCCTGGCTCCTTGTTCCGCCCTCTATACTTTCACAGCCCAGAATCATGTGACAGGAAGCTGCAATGGTGCCTGAAAGCATTGGGAAATGCGGGTTGCCATTGATTATTGAGAACTCGGAAGAAAGGATAAATTGTGGGGAGTTTGTGACTTTGGCACAGCTGTCTACTGAAGAGCATAGACATTCACTGTTTTATTCTTTCAGAAGCCTGCAGTTGTTGTTTTGTTCTTGGGTTTACATTTTTGTTCTTGGGTTCAAGTGCATTCTAATGAATGCTCTCATGTACCCACACGGTGGCTGGACGCCGGTCCCATTGATTGTAATAAGCAGCACTGCTTGCCAAATGGGAAATGCTGTATAAAATTTGCCATGTCTGCGACGCAAAGCATCATGGCCGCTGCGTGTATACAAGA